CACTGATTCAATCGAAAGGTATATATAACTAGTGCAATTTCAGACGTTTTCATTCCCATTTTGATCATCATGTTTTGTTTGGTTGCAATCAAATATTAATTTCGCTATATTATTTGCGTTTTATGTCAATTATAGGTGGCATATCAGCGCATCAAATCAATTACCACCATACATGAGTCACTTTTACATGACCCTTTTAGATGTTTACTCTGAGATGGAGGAGTGGCTAGCTAGAGAAGGCAAACCAAACCTTGTGAACTATGCAATTTCATCGGTATGTAATATATAGTTAAGTGCTGTAAGGATTGGAAAAGTAATTTTTTTTTTTGTCTTTTTAATATATAGTTAACTATTCTAGCTCATGACAAGGATTGAACTGTAATGATTGTGTTTCAGTTGAAAGTTTTAGCGAGAGCATATTTTGAAGAGGCAAAATGAATCCATAATGGGCATGTTCCAAATTATGATGAGTATATGGAAGTTGCACTTGTGAGTTGTGGATATACAATGGTAGCCACTAATTCGGTTGTGTGCATGGGCAAATTTGTGAATGAAGGTGTCCTTGATTGGATCGAGCAAAACCCTTTGATTCTAAAATCCTCTTTAGTGATCTGTAGGTTGATGGACGACATGGTTTCTTACGAGGTAACTATTATATTTTTCGTTTTAGTTGTCCTTTGAATATTCTGTTATATATCCGTTACATAAATTAAGTATTATTTCTGTTTTAAAAAAACAGTTTATGTTACCGTACAAATTTTAAAATTCAATACAGACTATTTTTGTTTAGACAAGAGAGCATGTGACTTGACATCGTCTTTATAACAAACAAAACCCTACTAATTTTTGCAGGCTGAGAAAAAGAGAGGAGAACTAGCATTGGCAGTCGAATGTTACATGATACAATACAAAACTACCAGAGAAAAAGCATTTGCCAAGTTTGACAAACAAATAACAAATGCCTGGAAGTATATAAACAAAGAATGTGTATCTTATCCGTCTTCGATCGTACCCATGTTCATCATTGAGAGGATCGTGAATCTTTCGAAAGTGATGTATATTCTCTACGAAGAGGAGGATGGATATACTAATTCTTCCGCCAAGGTTAAAGAATCAATCAAATCAGTGTTGTTTGATCCTATCCCTATGTGAAGAGGTTCCCGACCATTCAAAATGCATGTTCTTATTGATTGCTTATGTGAAAGGAGCATCTTTTCGGGTGAATTATTTTCTAAGTTTCCATTTGTGTGATCATTCTTGTAATTAATTTTTCGTGTAGAATGATTGTGAAACTTTATGCAAAAATGTATATAGTTTCATAAACACCATTGCAAATGTAATGTGACATATTTACATTGATGACTATATATATAGTATAGTTAATTTTCTTCCAAATTGTTTTCTACATCCCAAAACAATAATTCAATTTGTAAATTGCAAGTTATACTACATAAAAATAATTTTCATTGTAAATCGTAAATTATACTAGTAACAACGTGGACTACTTTTGTTACAACTGAAGCGTAATATTTTTTTGGAGATCAATTTGTTGAACTAGAGTTGTGCAAGTGTGCAACAAATGATACTTCAATTCAACAAAAAATGATGGAGGGAGTACCACAGTAATTATTTCAATTTTCAACTTATATTATAATTGCTTTATATCTTCAAGAGTTTGGTAGTCCTTCAAGTGTGCCAACTATATTTGTATTAAACTTAACTTCATGTTCTCACATGTGAAACCAGCATTTAATACAATTATTTTTTTTTGATTATTGAACTTCTTCTACGGTTAACAAATGGTGATGTAAATCCTTCATTTAAATTATATTTAAACACAACTTTTATTTTGATTACACTTCTTCCTCCATCCTTTAACGATTGATGTTGTAATTATTCCTTCATTTAATTTAACAAGCACATTTTTCTCCCTCTCCTGAATTTTTGCCGATCCAATTGCCCAGTGCCCACCGTTACATCTGTTAGTTGGATTTTAAACATAATTATGCTAAAAAACAATCCCTCCTCTTCTAGCCTCCATATATATGGCTTTGTTTAATCTGTGCAACCTATTCCCTTTTATTTTCTTCTTCAAAACTGTGTTCGACACGCCCCGCAAGCCGTTAGCAACAGTCGAATTTTGATTGTTTTAACACCTCACTCTGCAGCTGCCAAATTCTCTCAGTAATTGTTGAAGCAGCGCACTCAAGTTCTTCCCAATTACATAGAGGGTAACTTTCAATCCATGAGTCTCTGCATGATAAAAAGTAATCTAAAATGGATATGATTGATTCCTGCAGTAGGGTTAGTAAGTTTTAAGTCAATTGGATGCGCATGATTGGAAGGTAGCTTGTTTTGTTTCAGAACTTAAAATAGCTTTTAATAATTCAATTTGTATTGTACAAAGATTATGTTTACGCCTGACTTGTTGTTGCTTTAGATGAGAATTAAAATGGTTGTGAAGCCTTCAAAGAGAATATCTTGAGTTTCTAATTGTTATATTTAAGTATCTGTTAGTCTACCAATAGGTTAGTCGTGTAGTTTGATTCTTTGCGTTATTTATTTATTTATAAATTTTTTGCATAATTTTTCACCTTGATGTTGGTAATTAGATAAATGTTTCAAATTGACAGAAGAGCAACGACAAAATATAGAAACCTCATAAAGAATGGACTAAGTAATGATGGATTTTCTTAATGTAAGTACTTTTTATCAATATTTTTCTTATTTCTCAAATTCATGAAATTACTACCAATGTAAGGGAAGAAAAATCATATCGTGCAATTGCATACCTAAAACATTTATTCACAGCAATTTTGTCTATATACACACATTCTGCGCGTTTTAGCCCCCTAGTTATTATTATTTTTTTAAAATTCTCATTAAATAATCTGTTGAAAAACTTGCGTGGGAATTCTGCTCTTCCAAAAGTTTTGGTTCTTCATTTTTTGGCAGAGGTTTTCTTCCTTTTTTTTTTTTTTGGTCCGCACTCAACCGAAGCGTTCAATTTGGTAATTAGGCGGATAGGGCAGATATTTAATGGGCTGGAGATTATTGAGTATGGGATGTTAACTTCCTATTTATTTTATACATATTTAGGTATGGGTAGGGATTCACAAATAAGTAATCTAATATCCATTGGAATCCCATAAAATACAATTATTGGGATCCCAATAGGATTTTTTTCATTTCCATTTTTTTTATATGATAATTTTTTTCCCTTCTCTTTGTTATCATTTTTTTCCCTTTCCATTTGTCTTTTTAGTTCATCTTCTTTCTTTCTTTCTTTTCTTTTGATTAATTAGAATATTTTGACCTATGTCACTAATTATGAACGATTAGATAAGTAAAAAAAAATTCACAAATCAATTAATTAGTTAAGGTTGAAATGTACATATCACTTAATTTTCTAATGATGAGACCAGAGTTACATAATGGACTTCATTAAAACAGCTTAATTAATTATAATAAAAGTTGATGTGATAGAATTGGTTTTTTTTGGGGCATATATTTGGGTTGATAATCAATGGTTATTTACATAATGAGTTTTATTTTATTTTTTTTGGTTTTTGGAATAGAATGATTCTATATATACAATTAAAATTTAAAGAAAATGACTCATCATAAGTTATTTTCCAGTAAGTATAACTGATGAAAAAACTATATACTACTTAGTTATTTTCAAAATAACATGTCAAACTTCCCAAATATTTCTTAATTCTTGGAAAAAAAGCCCCGACCAACAAATCAAGGAGGGAATTTCAAACAACTATTCTTAAATTTGAGTAAGATTTTCTCATTACGAGGCTCATTCTTGTTCTCATGGGCAAGGGTTTGGATTTGTTGGTAGAACCATCAACCTCTTAGCTAGTACCATTCTAACGTAGTTTTTAAAGTACCAAATGAAAGTGTTAACATAAAAAGTTTGCCCATAAAAAGAAAAGAAAGAAAGAAAAGATGTATTAAAATTAGATAAAATAATTTCTTGTATTCGAAATGCAATAAAACAACTTTCGCTCCAAAAAAAAAAAGAGAGAGAGAGAGATTTAGGTCTTATTTGGCCAACACCACATTTTGCATTTTGTCTCATTTTACCTCTTAAAACACATCTCTAATACAAAATCCAATACTATCCAAACAACTTTTTAATTTACTTTTTAAAATTTATTTAAAACATTATTTTCATACCATTTTTTTACACCACCACCAGACGGATGGTGGTCTAAAAATATTATTATTTTATTTAAAATATTATCCAAATAATTTTTTAAATTTTATCTCAAAGCACATTTTAAATCAAATCTCAAACACAAATAAAAAACTAAAACAAAATGTTGGCCAAACAAACACTTAGGATTTAGTATTTTCAATGGAGTATAAATTTAGTCCGATCGGGTCCCAAAAGAGGCCCAATAACCCGCCTATTTATATCTCGTGCAAATTCAACATTACCCACTTAGTGCCCATTTTATAAATAGGGTAGGTAATTTGACTAATTTCCTCATTAACAGATGGAGTCCAGTGGATACACATTGTGAATGGGCATAATTGCCACTTTAATGCGTATATTTTTTTAGGTTTTTTAGGGAGAGATTTTTTTTTTTAAATATAGGAAATAAAACGGATAAATTTGGCTAAAGATCTCCTACATCATAATTTTATCATTGTACTTTCTAAATTATCATATATATTTTTTATTTAATATTTACTTTCCTTTTTAATTTTTTTTTTAATTTAATGCTTACTTTCTTTTTTAAAATTTTTACTAACAGAGTCACTAACCATTGTAGTAAATCTTTTGCCGATAAACTTTTTAGTCAAGCAAGATATACAAATAAACAAAACTGTACCTAAAATGGTGCAGCGGTGCGAAAAGGCCCATTCCTCTCTAGTAAAATTTGACTCTCAAGAGGCCCAGTCACATTAGGCCTATTTAACGTATCATCATCTCAATCAGCGGGACCCGCTCCTACCTTCAAATTCGTGGACATCAAGGTTGACTCTGACCATCCGACATGTCCGTTCGCGACATCCTCCCCAAGTCCCAACGAATAATTGAAATTTTTGCCTTTTCACATTTTTCATCGTCTTTCAATTCAATTCAAATCCATCCTATTTTCAATTCTGACAAGAACTTGAATTTCCAGCGAACCCCAAACCTCAATCGGTAAGAGCCCTTTTCGTCCCATCTGCTGCTTCACCTTAAATTTGTTTTATTTTCTAAATGTTTTATTGAGCCTCTTACGGATGACAATTCAATTCAATTTCTTCTCTTTTTTCTCCCTCCAAATCTACGGGAACCGTTTTTTTGTGGCTGGTTTATTGATTGTCTGGATTTATTTATGGAAAAAGTAGAATCTTTATGATTAATTGAAATAAGGATATGGGTTTTCCATAATTATTGAAGTTGTCCTAATAATTATAGTTATTGTTTGTTGGTAGTTATGAAATGTTTAATGCATCATTTTGGTTTGCTCAACTTGTTCTTAAATTTCAAAGTGGTTTCTTTTTGTATATATTTATATTGAAGGTGGGTTTACAAACATATTTGTGTACGTAATTAGGTGGTGTGTTTTACATGTTGGAGATGTCTACTGCATCCAGCAGTGGTAGTGAGAACTCCTATGATGCTGAAGAGCTATTCCAAATCAGAAACAGATGGAAAGAGGTAAGCTTTGTCAAATTCTTTCCCTTCATTTTAGAATAAAATGGTTATTGTCCTTGAATGTATTTGATAAATTTGAGATTAAATTTGAAAGTTGGTTCAGTTATTAGTCGAGATTGTCCACATTGAAGTAGCTGTGGCACCCTACTGAGTCCTTATGAGGCATTTTCGTAAGTGGTTTGTTCCCGAACCATCTTTTATACTGTTGAAGTTTATCCGAGTTTGAGTTTAAGAAGGAAAATAATAAATTTGTTTGAGGAATCTTCTTACTTTAGTACATAAAGATGGAAATGACAGAGGGCATTGTCAGATTGAGTTCCATTTGAAGAGGCTCTTTGTAAATTTTTGCTTTCTTTATGTGTTACCTTAATGCTTATCAATAAGTTCCTTGGCTTTCAACTCTGCTGAGAAAAGCCGGATTATCTTGTGCTCATGGGTATTGTGTTCAGATCAGTTTGGTGTTTCTGTCTTCGATTTAGTTTTGTCTTCGTTTTATTTTTAGTTATAGGATGTCTAAAGCGTTAAGAGATTGATGCCAAAAACTCAATAATTCGGTTGTCACAAGATTTACCTACTTCTTTAGTGGCCAAATTTAGCCATTGGTAGTGATTGCATAAAAAATAACGATAGTTTCTCTCTAAAGCTACAGGCAATCTTGAATTGTTCATCTTTTACATTCATTAGTTGTAACCTGTTGTTTCTTGAATGCTGGAGATGAACTTCTCACTGACTTTTATATTGGCAGTTTATAAATACACGAAAAGTCTTTTGAAGTGTTTGTGTTCATTAGTCATTATACTCTTTTATGAGGCATGCAAAGCTCTTCTAGAGCTGCTGTCTAAATAGCCTTTTGGCTGTCAGTTTCTTAAATGCTCTTTGTTTTAGAATGTTAGATCTTGCCTAGCCATTTATTGACCTTCTTTACTATCTGTTTCTGTTATTGACTTATTGTAGTTGAGGAAGGAAAAGGAATTATGGAAGGATTCACAATCCCAGAGCTTTGAACTAATTAAAGTAAGTTCCTCTTATCTAGATTCTTGATGGATTGGAGAATTTTGGGAGAATGTTCTGTTACATCTATTGCAGTTAATTTCTGGAACACCCACATACAATTTTCCATCATCATGGTATTGTGGTTGGCATCAACAAGTTGGCCTTTATGAAAACTTATTAACTTTAATGGCATTCAACTTCATTAAAACCTTTGTGGCGGCTAAGTTTTTTCTGGCGTTGAGAAGCGTTCACCCTATCAATTTTGTTTTGTTGAGCATATTTCTTTCACATTGTAATCAACAAATGCACTGTCTACATAATTACTGCAAATACTTTATTGCTGTCTACGAGTCTCAGCTCTAAAAAGTTATATCACTCGCGGCAAGTTCTCTTAAAGAAGTGAACAACTTTTGTGCTTGAATTGTATGAAAAAACTCATCTTCCTTGACAAGATAGTGATTGCATGGAAAACCTTCATTTCCTTGATGAGATATCGATTAAATAAATGTTCTGGAGTCATGATATCTTGTTCTTGATTAATATATGTTCATCTCTCTCTCTCCTCCCTCCCTCCCTCCCTCTCTCTCTCTCTCTCTCTCTCTCTTCATGATCGTGATTAGATGATAAAGCTTACTTTTTATATCTAATTACCTTGTAGAATCTTGCTCCTTGTAAATTGAGTGACACACGTAATAACTAGCTTTCCAGTAAACTGTATATTGATACTTCTCTGATGCAGAGACTTGAACTACATTCCAAAACACTATCTGAAGCCCAATCAGAAGACAAGAAACGCATAGAGCAGCTGGAAAGGGAGCTGAGCAATTGCTCTCAGGAAATAGGTGCGAACATCTGTGCTTCCCCTTCAATGTAGTCATTTTCTAGCTGAAATTGAAGAGTGCACATAGCATCTCTGGTCTTCTGTCTTTGTTTTTATTCTTTGAATGCTTTTCTGGTATAGAGTAGATCCACATGATATTGGAGTACGGAAAAACCATCTTTCTGTGATTTTCCGACTAAGAGCACATTGACATATAAAGCCGTGCTGTTCTAATATAGACATTCGCTTTTTTGAACTTTTAGAATTGAAAAATTTGCTTGAAGTTCAGCTTCCTTTAAATTATTTTCTTATGGTAATCTCTCAAATATGGCGCCTCTATATAAGAAACAGAAGTTGTTGCTGTGTTTTTGGATCCTGTCAACTACTGTAAATTGCATCTTTCAGTTTCTCCAATCATTTGAACCCCCGTAGTTTTCTTTTTTCCTGGTCCACTGGGGAGTAAAATACTGGAAACTTTATCATCTTTTTTTCTATGATTAATATCAACAGTTATTGGTTATTCTCAATTGCCCTGAATGCTTCCATTCGTAGAGCTTATGGGTTTTGGTAATTTAACAGAATATCTTCAAGATCAGCTAAATGCAAGAAACTCTGAGATAAACTCTCTTGATGAGCATGTTTGCGTCCTTCAATTGAAAATCGCACGTATGGAAAATCTTGAAGAGGAGGTGACAAGGTTAAATGAGGAGTTAAATATTTCCAACTCTGGTCGATTCTTCTTACTGGAGGAACTGGAGAATAAAGAGACGGAGCTACAAAAAGCAGTTTCATGCATTAATAAGTTGGAGGAGTCATTATCATCTGCTGAGCTAGAATATCAATGTGAAATTGAAAGCATGAAGTTTGATATGTTGGCTTTGCAGCAGAACTTGGTTGATGCTAGAAAATCACATAAGGAAACAGCTCTAGAAAATGCTCAGATGATTGATTTGGTTCAAGATCTTGAAACCCGAATCCAGGAAGATAAGAAGATTATTATGTGCTTGGAAAATGAAAATAAAGATCTTTGTCAAAAGCTGCAGAAATCAGAACTGGACATAAAACGATTTTGTCAAAAGGTAGTTGCACAGTTTCAAGGGTGGCTTGTTGACGAGGAAGTGTTCTTTAGTGATGTAGAAGAAGATACAAGGTACGTTAGATCCTGAAAGTGCCTAACTACAGTTCTTAGAAGAATTCACCATTTTGGGAATAAAATTGCTGCCTATTATTTTGAATTTTAGCTTGGATTTAATGACATTTCCAGCTGATTGCTTATTTATCCAGTGCACTAAGTAAAATTTTATCAGTCATATTCCTTGGGACAAAATTAATCTATCATTTGACGGCTTCCTTTTTTGTGACTGAGAGACGGTCCATGACTGACGTAGTTCATGGTAATGATATAGGTTTGAGATTTTGATGTCTGTCAAATTTGATATTCGGTTCGACAAGGACATATGCCGTGCTTGTGTCCATCGAAAGGCTACTCCATGTTGTATGATGGAAGCTTAACTTCATTGCCTGCTGGGTTTATAAATTCTGTAACATTGGGAGTGTAGGAAGTAGATGCTGACTTATTGTAATGGGATGGAGGGCTTGTATTAGCATTCAATTCAGCATATAATCTTAGCCTACGCGGCTACACATAAGATGGAAAAACTTCAGTTAGAGTAGAACTGTCAGATGCTTCTTACCTTATTTCTTAAATTTCGACAAGAGTTAAGTGTAATACATAATTATGGTATTTTTTAAATCTTTGAGTATTGCTTTCTTCTTGCCACATTAACCTTTCTTCTCTGTTTAGTTGCATTGTATTGCTTGTGATACCGTTTATCTTCTTGTTAATGGCTTATATTTTATCTTCTGTTCATCGTTTTCAAGAACTAGTGCTGAAGCTTTAGGACGACTAGTTTCCAAATTGGAAGTGTTAAGAACTTCAAATGCTGAATGGAGAGATAGGGATGCAACGTTATCACAGATACATGAATATGAACTGCTTGTATGTCAGCTTAAGGTATGTTTACGTGACCTGGAACTTTCCATTTCTTATTTAAATAATTGTGATAATGACTGCAATGACTGAAATGGAATTTATTTGCTACAAATGGAAATGGTCTTATATTTTTATTGAAGTAGTTAAAATAAGTGCTTTGCTGTCATGCTAGGAAGAATTGAAAGAGGAAAAATTTAAAGCAAAAGAAGAAGCAGAGGATTTAGCCCAAGAAATGGCAGAGTTGAGGTATCAAATTACAGGAATGCTTGAAGATGAGAGAAAACGCCGAGCTCGTGTTGAACAAATATCATTGCAAAGAATAGCTGAATTGGAAGCTGAGGTATTAGATTTTTTTTTTTTTTTTTTGAGAGGTATTTGAATTTGAATCCTTCTTTCTACACAATTTCTGTAATGATTTGGGTTATTTGTTGATCTGCATTCTTCTTTTGTGGTAAAGCTTGAAAAAGAAAGGCATAAATCTCTCAATGATGAAGACCATAAGAAATCTATCTCTATCGTTAAACATACTGGTGTGGCATGACTCATACTTGGAGAATACATAGCTCTCACTCGAATTGTGATTAAGGTAACATGACACTTCCTTCAGTAACTTATGTTCTTTAATTTAATCCATCTCGCTTACCTTGCTTGGCTACATGAGGCACTATCCTATATTCCCAGCAATTCTAAGTATTGTTTTCTTGAGAAAGCAGTTTTGAAATGATAAAAATTCGAGAGGCAATGGAAAAGTGCTCTCTTTGTATTTCCTTTACAGATTGAGTTGCTGTATCTGACAAAATTTATAAGCTTATCTCCACATTGTTTCTGCTTAGCAGCATTTAAAGGACAGCTGATGCTAGTACAATGCTTAGTTGCGAAGCAGCAGGTCGGACGGTGGGGCAGTATTCGAGCTCCATAAGGGTGAACTGCTTGAACCAGCAAGTGATGCGACACCCCTTTTGGTTGATCTGTCATCTATGCCATAATCCATGGCTTCTGTGAAAGATTTTGCAGATTGCTGTTGCTGCAGTTTGTAGATAGATGGCTGCTGAACGCAATTCATGATGCGGCATCTGATCTATCAACACACGTAAAGTACGGTATGTAATTATTGTTGGTTTTTTCTTCATTGGCAACAGTTTTTGTGCTTCAGTGAAGAGAGAAAAATACTGTACAGATTGATTACATTTGTGTAGACATCTCTTTGATAGCCTGATAAGTGATATCTTAAAGCTATTTTACAAGAAACAACTTCCTTTGAGGTAGAGCTCATCACCTTCAACATATATTTTTCTTATATTATATTGGTGTCCAAAAACCGAACTAATTAGCTTTAATATTTTTGGAAGTAACAGAAAAACATGTTCTTGAAGGCTTCAAGTCTTCGTCCTTCCCATTTTTTTTTTTTTTTTGTTATTCAACGCCCCATTCACATTTAATTCTCTTCATCCCACTAAACAGTTCCAAATGCAAACGAATTTAACACCATTTCTTTCCATTTGTCACCAACGAACTCGGTATTGTAGAATTCAGTAAGGGACCATTAGAGAGCAGTTAAAAATGCCTGGAAAAGCTCCAAAGCCAAATATCATACTGAAATGACACATACTACATGAATCCATTGAACAAATCTTTGTATTATAAACCAGAAGTGCCACAACAAAAATACCTTAGCAGTACCCAACCACAATTTCTAAATTCTCCCACCTAAATAAATCAGAAGGAAAACACATATGGAAAACCACACAAACCATTATCTAACTTTTCTTTATGGGGTGGGTGACCTGTAGACCAGACAACTAATCTGCTAACTTCAAAACCTTCTAACCTGACAAACGTAGGGAACAGAATACCAATATCATGAAGCAAGGTGATGATTTCTAGGGATCCTGTGCAGAAGGGATTGTCCCTAAATCCGCTAATCTGAGCGAATCAAAAAGTAGGAAAAACTTGATCAATGCCGTTAGGATCCAAAATCCAGAAAAACTCTGCAAAAACATGTGTATACAAATAACTTTATATATTAACTCTCTCAAATAATCAATGCCATAAGGATCCAAGTAAACATCAAAAAAAGGAAAAAATATTTATTCACAATCTGTTTCCTTTCATGAAAGGGACACATTTTACCTTAAGTCTTCCCCACCAACTTGGTTAGAAATAGATATTCATGACAATAGGTATGCCACCTCTGACGGTGCAACAGCAGAAAAGTATCCTACAGGTTGCTGATGGTTGATTACCTTCCCCTGTGCCTTGATTGTTTAACAAGAAACATTATATTTCATTAAGGCTCCAGATCTCAACTTCACAAATCCTAACGTATGCAGTAAAAAGAAAAAACAATTGCATAAAAACTACGAAGAATCAACAAAGCAATTCTATGGGTGTACCACCAATCAGTATAAGAGTTACAGTTTGTGTCTTCTCGCACTCTTTTCTACTTCAATCCTATCATTACTAGTATTCTTTCTACCCTCAGTATTGATTAATGAAATCAATCAAGCAATGGAGCAAATGACTGAAACTAGAACAAAAGCAAAATAGTACTGAACGGTCTCTCTAAGTTATGCAATACTTACACGATCTCCAGTGATGTTGGTGCCTTGTTTCCTCGTATTCCAATACTGTGGATGCCCTCTTTGTGACCCCAAATTAAAATTTGAAGGATGTGACTTATTTTTTGATAGTTTCCGCTTTCTTCATCTTGATTCTGCAGTTCAACGGTCACTTTATCACTCATCAACTCCAAATACAAATGTTGGAGTTTGGTCAAATGTTGAACTCCCAAAGGGAATTCCTGTAATGATTGAAGGGATATGATTGCTAGCATCAGAAGATTAGGCATTGCACCTTCCTCCACCGTCAAACATTCCAAATTATGTAACTGGGCTAGGGTCAAGTTCTCGAGTTTCAGAAAACAGCCAGATTTGAAGTTCAGACTCTCTCCTTCATAAGCTTTGTCCAACAAGATCCCTCGCAAATTCGGCAAGTATTGGAGAGATTCAAGTGGATCATTCATTAACCTGCTCGAATCCAACCTCACTTTCATCAGTCCTTTTAAGCAAGACAGTAATTGGGATACCCTTTCCAAGTGGCCTCTCAAGCATAAAGTTTGCAGATTTTGGAGACCTGAACCTAATGAAATGTTCCTATCATCGAGATCAATCACCTCATTATCAGTTACTGCTTGAAGAAAAAGCTCCCTTAGATTAGTGAGCTTTCCAAGAGACACGAAAAGGTGTTTCTCGTCTCCCCTTCTTAGAATCGTCATGACTAGTGTCTTCAGTTTCTTCAGCTTTCCTATCTCTTTGATCTGTGTTTCGTTCACTTCCATGCATAACAACCACTCCAGAGAAGAAAGCTTAGAGATATTATTTGGACCTTTCCCTTGATGGTAAACCTTGTGCTCAGATTACATTGAACCACATTTAGATGAATCAGTCCCTTTATCTTCAGTATTTCTTTTGGTAACTCACTCACATTGGTGTACGACAGATCCAGAAATTCTAGATTTTTCAGAGACCCTATGGATCTTGGTACAATCTTCACCCTTGTGCATTTGAGATTTAAAGTCCTGAGATGAAATAACTTGAAAACTTCTTTTGGGATTTCCTCTAAATCCGTACCTTCCAAATTTAACACCTTCAATAACCTAGAACCACCACATAACATCTGTGATAGCCGGGATTTTGACAAAGGTTCCATAAACCTGGTGAAAATTAAAAACCGCAAATACTTGAAACACATGGAGTTTACCTCCGTAACGGACTTGAAATCATGGAACACCAGGCGTCTAACCTTCTTAGGCCACCTACTTTCTTGCCCTCCTGCAGCTATGGTTGCGAAATTCTGTCTAGTCGACTTTAACAGAAGGATTTCTCGCAAAAGGTCAAGAATATGATACATTCTAGAACTCAACCCATAAGGTGAATCTGAGGATTGGAGTAAACTCCTGTTAGTAAGTTCATCAAGATAGGCATGCGCCACCTCATACTTTGTCATCCTCGATTTCTCTACTGCTAATCCTTCTGCAACCAAATATCGAATGAAGTTCTGCTCTTTTATTTTGAACTCCTCTGGAAAAATACTTGCATATAACAAACAAGTCTTCAAATGATGCGGGAGCTCATTGTAACTCAGCAACAATATGTTTCTAACTGGATCCAATCTACCACTAACCTCGAGTTCACCAACAATGCTGCATTCAACCATGTTCCACTCATCTATTTTTCCTTTGTCTTTTAAGGCCAATACTCCACTGATTACTACTATTGCAAGTGGCAATCCCATGCATTTTCTCAGTATTCTATCAGCAACATCTTCGAGATGAGCTGGGCAGCGATGATCTTTGAACGTCGTCTTGCAGAAAAGAGTCCAAGAATCATCAGAAGACAATGGTCGCATTTGGTGAACATAGGTATTAAACTCAATATTGCGGCGCGCGCTACATCTGCTATTCGAGTTGTGAGTATCACACGATTGCCACTGTTGCCTCCTGGTAATGCATATTTGATAGGCTCCCAAAAATTTGAATCCCAAACATCATCAAAGACAATTATGTACCTGTTTGAAAGTGAAACAGTTTACTGCAGATACAATAAATAGGTTTTTAGCTAAATCAGATTTTCAATCTTCCATCTTCCATCTTCCATCGTTGAATGCTAATTAATTCGTTCCTTTCCTGATTCCGAAATCCTCCAATCAAATGTATAGATTTTCAATCTTCCATCTTCCATCGTTGAATGCTAATTAATTCGTTCCTTTCCTGACTCCGAAATCCTCCAATCAAATGTATAGCTTAGGTAATGGAAACACTGAATTCAAATGTGATTTAGGAACATAAGTTATTTATGATCGGAAACTTGATCGAAATTTCATAATGAAGTTTTGACAAATTACACATGAAAAAGGTTATTCAATTAATTATGTCAATAGGAGAAAAGAGATGCTTCAAATATGTTTAAAATGAAGGGGAAATGTTTTTCTCAAAAAAAAAAAAAAAGAGAAGGGGAAATGTTATGTTTAAAGGGATGCAAGAGAAATGTTGTGTTATGAACGGTCACAAATAAATCAACATTTCAAAAAGAATCTGCAACAAAAGTTTAGGGTCGAAAGTGAAACATTTACTCATCTACCGCAAGATAAGATCAAAAGTGGTCTTAGCTATTAGTGTAATAATTATAACTAGATGCCGGGGTGTCATCTGTATTTTTAAATTAATTAAATAAAAATACGAATCATTTTTAAAAGAATAAAAAAAAATTAGAAGAATAAAAACTCGATTGAAAGGACAGAAAGTGAGCTATTACACAAATCTATGCCCAAATTTACAACATTTAATTTATAACAGTTAATCTATACCCGCGTTTACATAAATCATAAACCAATATCTACAACAGAAGAATATAAAAACATCATCCTTAAAAAATTAAATTTCTTTTATGACAGCTTATTTTTTCTCTGTTGTAGAAAGAGATGGATTGATAATTGATGTCAGATTTTAAGTAATTGGTTTAAAGGCCCGGGTGTGAGAGAGGAGCGAAATGGAAGAGATTCTTTAAAATTGGGGATTGGAAAGACATTACTGGTGTTTCACTTGATTTAAGGGGATTTCCTTACATTTGATTTTATTAACTAAATATTGTTGTTTTAAAGGATAAGTATATACCTATAATTAAGATATTTTTATGTAGTTATAATTAAGGGATTTTATATATTTATCTATTCTATCTTTTTTTTTTTTTCTGATTAGTTAGAGTGGCACGTGTCAAAAATAATTTTATACTGAAAATGACTTTTGGCTTGAAAATTTTCATTGTAGTATTGACTCATGTCCTTTTTGTTTGCTGCTTTAATTAAGTACTATATATTACTATACTAATAAATCTGAATCTTGAACTTATTAGTTTGTTTTAAAATTAACAAGGTTACAAGTTGTTCATATTTTAGCATATTTTCTTCTATTGTGCTAACTGTGGCGATTAATGGAATGAATAAATCACACAGGTTTTCAACAAAGTTTTCTTTTCCCCTGTATCAGAGAAACCAATAATACATATTTCTTTTATCCCAAAAAATATACAAATCTCAATATCTATGTGGACTTTTTTTAGATTTGTATTAACAAATCTTAAAATTAACGTGGACTAGTTTTTGGGATGGAGGAAATATATTAGTACCTTTTGTTTTGAAGAAAGTCATTGACAAGGACCTTTAGCCGCTCAACTTTAGCTGCTTGCAGAGGAGACTTTGGAAGTCCTTGATATAGTTGTTGAATCAAGTCCTTACGCAACTCTTTTACATCATAGGTTTGAGAAACTGCATCATAGGTTTGAGAAACTGTCACCCAAGAAATGACTTGGAAATGTCACATTATGTTCTTGCACTTCTTTTTTCAGACTAGTGTAGTTTTCCCTATTCCTCCTGTTCCAAGAACTGAAACAACTTTAAACTCGGGATCGCCGTTGACAAATCGTCATCATACTAGTCAAATATAAAATTAACTATTTAACACTAGTATAGTGGAAAATAGGGTCGATCCTATAGAGAAAGTTATCAAATTCCGATAAAATTATTTCTTATTATTATTTAGACAACTAATAATAATTATTTTAAATTACACTAAACATAAAAATAATAATTAAAATCTAATTAATTAAATAGCAGAAAACCTTGGGCAAAGGATTCACCTACCGACTACTCAGCTTAATTCAATCCATAGATATATGACTTTGGAATTTCATTAATCTCACAACGATTCACTTGTTTAAGAACTATTCACTGTCGTGATATGATTCTCTTACTCAAACTAACCCTATGACTATTATCGTGACTATAGGATTTTATTAGAGTACATTAAGAACCCTAGAATCTATAGCTGCAAAGACGATGTTCCTAGCATCGTGGCCCACTATCTAAGTCTAATATTCCCATGAACTATAGCTAACCTTCAAGCGTCGTTCCTTCAGTTAAACACCTTTAAAACATACAAGTGGTGATCAAATACTCACATAGAATAAAAACAAGAATATTAAATATCAACGAATAAAAAAAATCACAATCATAAATTAAATTAAATTAATTAGTACGGTGTCTACATCCAAAATCTTAATTAAATAATTTAACTGCTACACATCATCTCAAAAATAAATAGAACAATGAAAGCCGGGACGAAGTTAGCCGAACGTTGAGTCGAGGTTGATGCGTTGCTGCTTCGCGTGAAAGACTAGAAGCGAGGTGGTGATGGAGAAAGCTGCTAGAGAAGAAGTAGTCAAAGCTGGTGGTGTGCGGTAGCAATGGTGTAACGGCGGGTCGACGGCAGATTTTTTTTCTGGTTCGGTCATGTATGTTTTCGGTGGACGAAACTCTCCTTTTATAGACTTCTCCTTGGAGACTAAGAAATAAATTACTTACTCCAAGTCGGATTCATTTTTTGCCGAAAATGAAACTGCCTTCTCACCGCCACAAATCTGAAACTTTTGCGGTTTCGTCTTCGGCAAGAATGGACAGTAGCTACAAAACTCCCGCAATTCAGCAACCCTTGGGCTTCACTAATTGAGTCCAGCTTCCTTTCTTTATTCGTAGCAAGACGACCAGCCAAGTAAAGATATTTGGGCTCCAAACTGGCCAAAATAAATCAATTCTCCAAGGATGCTACTCTCGGCCAAACCCAAAAGCTCAAATCCATGATTTAATCTTTGGCCCTCCAAGTCTCTAAGTTCTTTAATTTCTTCGTTGTCAATTTTCATAATCTTCAATCCTGCCCTTTAAATTGCTTTTATCTCTATTTTAGCTCAAAACTTCAGCAATTCTTTATTTGAATACAATTCCTACAAACAAAGATAAAATTATATAAAATAGCGGAAATGTATCCAAAATATTGGCAAATCTCGCATAAAAAGATATTAAAAATAGATAAATTATAAGCACACCAGCTGTCAAGGAGTTGAGAAATGAGCTACTGTTTCGGGCCATTAATTCCAACCAACTTTGCTTCTTCCATAAGTAAGGGGGCGTCATCTCTATAAACCTGCCACGAGGTATTTGGCACCACAGATGAAGAAGTTAAGACTTCGTTAGAAGAAATACCATACTCAAATTGGTACCTCTTATAACTCTCAGCAATGATTGTGATTCTAGAGTTAATGCATTGTATCGCGCGAGCGATCTGATGGCGCGCTCGCAAGTTCTTCAAGGAGGCGAAAATCTTTCGAGCATGACCGTAAAAACCACGCCCATGACGATGATGATGGCTGAACCGCAACATGAATTCATCAAATACATCTTAGATGTCGCTTACTTGAACCATTCATTCTTCGAGCCTAGGATCTTCCTATTCGGCGAATCTTAAGAAAATTTTCATGTGTCCAAGTTCATCAACGATGTGTTGGATCTCTTGTCCAACCCCACCTAATAAATTTGCCTCATCTAGGATCAAGTTGAGAGCTGAGATAATACAGAAGAAACAATGTGTGCACTCATTATTTAGGGGGAAAAAAAAATTTGCTTGATCGGCAGGCTTTCAAGAGCGAAAATGTTATGATATTATGTTTGTTTTGGTGTATTCAATGAGATTTATTATTATATACAACTGGTGTATCCTTGTTTTTAGTGCAGCAAGTACTAGCACCCCTTATTTTGTTATTAAAATTCTCGTAGAAGTTATCACTTTCCCCTTAAAATTACTATTTTATCCTATTTATTGTATTTGAATGTACAATCTTATGTACCGCAGCTGCACTCAGTATTTTCTCTATATAGAAACCTTTTACTCCCTCCATTCCAAAATAAGTGCCGTCCTACACTTTGCACATAGTTTAAGAAACTCTTAAATATGGTAATAAAATTACTTGAATATTCTCAACCAACTCCATTATAAAATTGTCCACCAATAGCATCAACTCTTTTGAGAGTAATTTTGAAAAACTTTTAACAAAAAGTGCATTAAAATATGAGAACGACACTTATTTTGGAATTTCTCCATTTTGCTAAAATGACACTTATTTTGGAATGAAGGGAGTAGCATTTAACACCGTACAAGAGAGTCTTTTTTTTTTTTTTTTGTGTGTGTGTATGTTGATTACTGCGCCACGATCTAGTGGAAAAGAGAGTAAAATTATTTAGGTTCAAATGTACTTTGAATTTGATGAACCAAATAACACGGTATAACCACTAAATTACACTTGTGAGTTATAACCCGAGTTATTATTTTAGGTAGGGTATAAATAATTCAGAAAATTAAAGACCATAAATATATAGTGAAAATGCATATACGATTACTGATGTGTACATAATAATTAAGGGTAAAAGTATGGAGAAACAATAAAATACTAACAAAACAAAGGTACACATTAGTAATTGTTTCTTACACTATATGTTTCTCACTACACATATTAGTTTTCAAATAAAATAATAAAATAATTATAATGTCTCCATGAAAGTTATAATATCTTTGGAGAAAATGAGCAACAAATGGAATAAATTAGTACGACTTATTATTACATTTTGAATGGGTTGTTTCACTAACAACATGACCGTATCCTTTCTCGTTAGACTCCACGTTACATATTTCAATAATTTTATATAAATTTTAAGTTCTTAGATTAAATTTACACCATTTACAATCACTTTTATAGTAAATATATTTCAAAACTAATGATTCATTTTTATCAGGTTAAGACCTAATTATTTGAATTTTCATTGTATAGAAATTCAATAATATATATTATCTATTAAATTTTATAAAAAAAGATTTATATATTATTGATTGATACAAAAAAAAAAAGAAAAAAATTTCAAAATGAGAATTATCTGCAATGAGAAATTTCAAAAGTTATCACGGAGACATGTTATAATTCTCCCGTCATGCCCAACTCCATCAACCAGCTGATGATGCCATTTGGGGGTCAAGAAATTGCATTTGAATTTTGACTAAAAAAATTCAATGGCTATGACTTTTTGTTTTATCTCGAGGAAAATAGAGCAGCTGCCATGACTTTAAGAATGAATCAATTCATGAGTTTTTTTTTATGAGTCAAGTCAGGTCATGAGAGAGTAATACCAGGCCACGCATTCATACATTACAGTGGTCATCAGAGTGAAGATTAACTGAATGGTTCAGTTTCAACCGCGGAAATAAAGTGGCGTTTACCTCAGAAGTTTCGGTTTGAAAAACCAGAATTCCTGAAAAAGTTTTGGACTGATAACTGCCGTTGTCTCATCAAAACTTCATTCAAAACACTCCATGAGGCAACCAATCTTTGTGTGGACAACAAAATTTTACGTTGCTTCTTTTCCATTTGTGAGTTAAACACGAAATCATTGAAATATGCGAGACACGAAAACCGAAATTAGACTACTTTGAATTTGAACAAGCAAGTTGAATTAATGTTTCCTTTTTCGTCTTACGGAAAAGATTCATGAGGAGGGTCTAATTTCTTAGAACGGCCATGAATGTTATTTCCTTGGAATTTGGTTTGTTTATGATGACATGCTTAATAGTTAACAAGGTACACTTTCATGTTTCTCTCTAATAAATTTTTAAATGATTTACGTTGAAATGAGATGCTATATAGTCATGCCTAGAACATGACATTATAGGGTTTGCTTATCTTTAAAATATAATATCCTCTCCTATTGTAAAATGAAATAAAATGAAAATGAAAATGTACGATTTATGTAAAGCACCATCAGTAGTAAAATGCAAGTCCAATAACGTGAACTACGCTAAATGTAAAACACATCTTGTAAAGATATGCTTTGGTTACTGACGATAAAATTATGTACACTCCAAACCAAGAAAATAAAAAAAAATAATTTCCAATATCAGTCGAAAGAAATCAGGCAGAATTGTAATTTGGAAGGTTGAATTAGTTAGGTGCTGTAAATTTTGGACTGAAACGACCATTTTTCTCGAATAAAATGCTAGAAAAAACTCCAAACCCGACTGAGTAAATGTTTATGTACCAGATGGTTACAAACCATGAGTGTAACTTTACATAACACAACCATAATGAAAACTATACACAATCACTTGTCCGAATAAATGAGCAGAAAAACGCCGCTAGAAAAGCATACAAATCATTATCTAACCTTTTTTTTTAATTTTTATAATAAACTTTTACATGTGTTTCATTTTTTTACATGAAAGAGAATCATGCATCGTACCTTAAAAGAAAGCCTTTGTCAATAATGGCCAAACATGGATGAAAGTGATAAAGCTCATCACCATAAGGAATCAACCTCTGATTGTGCGATGACAGAAAAATACCCCGCAGGTTGCTGATAGTTGATTTCCTCGGCGTGTACCTTTATTTACAAGAAACCACATTTCAATAAGGACTAGGTCCAATTCGTAGTTTCTTGCATGAGGCTAGAATTCCAACCTCAGCTTCGTCTAAAGTCTAAGTTCAAAATATCATTCCAATCACTTTGATACACATGTATAAAAAAATTAAACGAAACAATCGATATGCATAAATGAAACTAGAACAACGCGAAATAGTAGACAACAAACTCAAGTTATTTAATGTGCTCCTTCAGTCCACAAAAACAAAAATCCCTCGCATTGAGTTTTGAGATTTACTTACAAGTCGTCCAGTAGAGCTCAAGCCTGGCTTTCTTGTCTTCCAATATTGTGGATGTCTACACCATCCATCTTGGTGATCCCAAATCAAAATTTGAAGAATGTGACTTATTTTTTGATAATCTTCACTTTCTTCATATTGATTCCGCAGTTGAACAATCACTTCATCACTCATCAATTCCAAATACAGATATTGGAGTTTGATCAAGTGTTGAACACCCCAAGGGAATTCCTGTAATGATTGAAGGGATATGATAGCTAGCATCCGAAGATTAGGCATTCCACCTTCCTCCATTCTCAAGATTTTCAAATTGTGTAGCTTGACAAGGGTCAGATTATCGAGTTCCAGAAAACACCCAGATTTAAACCACAAACTCTCTCCTTCATAAGCTTGCTCCAACATAAGTGCTCGCAAATTCGGCAAGTATTGAAGAGATTCAAGTGGATCATTAATCAACTTGCTCGAAACCAATGCTACCGACATCAGACCTTTTAAACAAGAGACTAATTTGGGTACCCTTTCCAAGCGACCTCTCAAGCATAAAGTTTGTAGGTTTTGGAGACTTGAATCGATTGAGATGTTGTGATTGATGTCAAGATCAATCACCTCATCGTGGTCTGATGCGGCTTGTAGATACAATCCCCTTAGTTTGGTGAGATTTCCAATAGAAAAGCAAAAGTGTTTCTCATCTTCTCTTCTTAGAATCGTAATGGCAAGGATCTTCAAGTTCTTGAGTTTTCCTATCTCTTTGATCATGGTTTCATTTGCTTCTATGCAAAACAACCATTCCAGAGAAGAAAGCTTTGAGATATTATGTTGACCTTGGAATCCCTTGATGACGAATCTCGTGCTCTCATTACATTGAAACACATTTAGATGGATAAGTCCCTTTACCTTGAGCAATTCTTTTGGTAATGCACTCACATTTGTATAAGACACATCCAGATATTCTAGATTTCTCAAACACCCAATGGACCTTGGTATAACCTTCAATCTTGTGCGTTTGAGGTTTAATGTCCTGAGATGAAATAACTTGAAAACTTCTTTTGGGATTTCCTCTAAATCCGTCCCTTCCAAATCTAATACCTTCAATAGCCTAGAACCACCACATAACACCTGAGATAGCCCGGATGTCGATAACGGTTCCATAGACCTGATAAATATTAAAGATCGCAAATATTTGAAACAAATATTATTGCTTGTATTCGATTTGAAATCATGGAATGCAAGGCGTCTAACCTTTTTAGGGCAGCCAACCAATCGATACTCTCCAGCTGCGGATGTTAGAGATGCAAAATTTTGTCTAGTTGACTTTGAAACTAGGATTTCTCGCAAAAGGTCATGAATATAATACTCTCTATAAAATCCCATCCCATGAAGTCCGTTTGAAACTTGAATCAAACTCCTATTGACAAGTTCAACAAGGTAGGAGAGCGCAACCTCGTATTTTGTCAACCTCGATTTCTCTTCAACAAAACCTTCAGCAGTCAAATATCGAATGAAATTCGACTCTTTTATTTTGTAATCCTCTGGAAACATGCTCCAGTACAATAAACACGTCTTCAGATGATACGGCAGCTCATTATAACTAAGCAACAGTATTTTTCTAACTGCATTCAATTTACCACTTGCCTCAAGTTCAACATCAAGGCTGCATTCAACCATATTCCACTCATCTATTTTAGATTTGTCTTTTAAGGCCAATAATCCACTAATCACCACAATTGCAAGCGGCAATCCCATGCATTTTTTCAATATTCTACGAGCAATATCTTCGAGATGAGCCGGGCAACAGTTATCTTTGAACGTCCTCTTGCAGAAGAGGATCCAAGAATAATCAGGAGATAAAGGTTGCATTATGTGAACAAAACAATTAAATTCAACAATGGAGGCACGGGCTATTTGTGATATTCGAGTAGTGAGTATCACACGATTGCCACGATCATTACCTTCGGGTAATGCAATTTTGATTGCCTCCCAAAAGTTTGGATCCCAAACATCATCAAACACTATTGCATACCTTTTATTTTGGAGAAATTCCTTGACAAGCACTTTTAGTTGCTCAGTTTTAGCTTCTTCCGGAACCCCTTGATGTAGTTGTTGAATCAAGTCCTTGAGCAACTCTTTCATATCATAGGTTTGGGAAACAGTCACCCAAGCAATCACTTGGAAATATCTTAAAACATTTCCATCTTCTTGCACTTTTTTGACTAGTGTAGTTTTCCCTATTCCTCCCATTCCAAGAACTGATACAACTTTAAACTCGGGATCGCCATCAAGGAGTTGAGAAATGAGTTGCTTTTTCGGGCCATCAATACCAACTAACTTTGCTTCTTCTACAAGTAACGGCGCGTCATCTCTATAAACCTTCCATGAGTTATTATTGGTGAAAACTGATGAAGAAGCCAATAAGACTTGGTTAGAAGAAATACCATACTGAAATTGGTACCTCTTATAACTCTCGGTAATAGTTGTGATTCTAGACTTAAGGCCTTGAATCGCGCGAGCGATCTGATGGCGCGCTGGCAAGTTCTTCATGGAGGCGAAAATCTTTCGAGCATGTCCATAAAACCCATGTCCATGATGATGATGATGATTTAAACTCAACATGAATTCATCCAAAACATCTTGGATATCATAAGCAACATCTTGAACTTGCACCATCCATTCTTCAAGTCGGGGATCTTCTTCTTCTTTCGACTCTGCGAATCTTAGGAAAGCTTGCATGTGTCCAAGTTCATCAACTAAATGCTGGATATCTTGCCTTACCCCACCTAACAAGTTTGCCTCATTTACGATCAAAGTTGAGAGCTGATTTAGAATGGTAGAAACAATATGAACACTCATTGTTCAAAAGTTAGATTCGAAACTGTAATGATATTACACTTGTTTAATTCTCTTGTGTATTATATGGGTCTTTTTGATGTATTTATGTCTAAGTCATTCATTCAATTAATACAGATTCGAGATGGGTGAAGAGACTTTTTCAATAAATTAAATGGGCCAAATTCATTTTCACGTACTTAGTAGGTAAAACCGTACAAATTATTTTCAATCTTGATGGACCAAATTATAAGATGAGTGAATTAGTCATCAGAGTTATAGTTAACTGTCGGAACCCGAGTGACTATTATAGGCAGCCACGATTATTGGGATAATAGGCAGAAACATGTACTCCTTCCATTCTAATAAGTGTTCGATCGTTTAAAGAAAATAGAATATCTCAAAATAAGTGTCATTTTCATTTATCAATGCATATTTTCACAAAATAAAGATTAAAAATTTCAATTTGTGTGTGAAGTCTGTAGTCGCTATGATATATATTTTTTTTTCTCAGGGAAAATTAAGTGGGCATGACTTTTTAAGTATGAACCAATGCAACAATTTGAGTCACGTAAAGTCAAGTCACGAGAGTTAGAAAATTAATTAACTGAATGGTTCAGTTTCTGAATCGGAAGTTTCGATTTGAAAAATCTGGGAAAAGACAAAATTAGCTCTCAAATCGTGTTCAGATTGCTCAAGGTGAATTCGATTACGATGTAAAACAATTTTCAAATTGTTGAAACTATGCTTTCTGTTGTATCATATTGGCACAACTTAGCTAATTTTCTAACATATACTTTTTTTTTAGTATGCTTTAGTTCATCAACTAATTCTTTAATCGATTACGAGGTGATCGATCATATACACTGATCCCTCTACATCTTGGGAAAAAAAATAAAAAATAAAAATCGTTTTTGATGAATTAAAATATGCATCAAACACATTATATTTGTTGAGATGGAGTACCATATTCTTTGTTCCAAGCCTAGATATTTATAATTCCCGAGTCTCTCATCAAAACTTCATTCCCAAATATCAACGAGGCCACCAATTTTTTTTAAGAAATTTTTTTTTACAATTCTTTCCACATGTTCCCGTAAAATACGAGTGATTGAAGTATCTGAGACACTAATAAGAACAAATAAATTGAATTGCATTTTTTCATTTCTGGAAAAAATAATTCATTCATTTGTGGTAGATTAATACTCACCAACTTTGCTTCTTCCCAATTGATGAAGGTAAAACTTGGTTGGAAATACTATATTAACATAATCGTATTGGTAGCACTTATAACTCTCAGAAATACCAGTGAATATTCTAAACTTACTGCATTGTATCGCACAAGCAATCTGATGGCTATCTCGCAAGTTCTTTACGCGTTTCTTCGGTCTTGTTTTCCGTTGCATGTCCAATGTTTTTTTTTTTTTTCTTAATTTTATTTTCCCCTTCTTTGAAAAGGGCAGGAGTCAGAGCTTGAAATCAATAATCGCAACGTGAAAAGGGAAAAGTTGCTTATTTAACGTCTCGGTGTTAATATATCATATCATTAATTTAAATTCGAGTCTGATAAGTTTTAGAAACTCCATATTAAATTTTAAGCGCTAATGTATGTATTTCTCTGAGTTTTAACCAAAATGACTACAAAACTAATCCATTATCTCCACCACATGAAACAAGTTTTTTTTCTTTTTTTTTCTTTTTTTGGTTTGTGTGTTAGTCAACCGTTCTGTTGAATCCCTCCCCATAAACATAAATAAATTACACTCATATGATAGTATACGGGCTTGTAAAAAGTTGTAGTACTACTAAAATAACGTACTTGTTGAACCAAAAAAAGTTCATTGACCGACAGCGAAGTCCGAAGGGTCTTTGAATAATGGGTTAATTATGTGGCGTACTGACTGACGCTCGAATTTTTGGGTTATGTGGCCACTGAGAATAGAGCATATGTTGATTGTTTGTGATGAATGTAAATTTTTATTTATTTATTTTGGTCCCGAAGCCTTTATTAAGCATCATCGTCATTATTGAACACACCCGAAAAACTGGATTACTGCCGGATTTAATCCTGATTCAAATTAATTAGAGCTCCTTTTTCTTTTAAAACCAAAAATAATTTTATTAATAATTAAGAAAAAATAGAGCAGCGAATGTACTAACTCTATATTAAATATAATTTTGATATTAAACTAAAGTTTAATTCTTGTTTAATCTAGTAGACTAACGAACTTGCATTTTGTTTTTAGCCTTGGTTTTTTTCGAATGATTGTGAAATATTGAAGCAAAAATTTTACTGTAAAAGAACTCTTGTTCCATCGCATACTCCATATTAAATTGTCATCATCAGAAACGTGGGAAGCATGATTTAGTCCGGCTTCAAAATTTATTACTTCAATCGAATAACTTGGGAAAAACATATCGGTAACTTTTTCTATCTCCGAATCATCCTTGGACAAGTACATTTTAGGGGCCGTAGTTGGCAGTAAAACCTGAAGTAAAGGAGCTTGCAGTTGAGAAGATACAGTAAATTTGGGAGCATCGAGATTTAACTTATGACTGGGGTTACTGAGGAAGATATTCCTTTCTTATATACGGGACTTGATTGAGACTTATCTTCATTCAAATTCAAAGAAGACGGGTCAACAGCTGGGGGATTTTGTTGCGTTGATAGCGGCCGCAAAATCAGGCAATTTTCCTCCGATTGCTCAACGTTTTTTGACTCCGGCGATGAGGAGTTGACTCCGGTACTGGTAGCAACAATCGAACCGGAAGGCTGAGTGTCTATATCGTCGGTGGAGACACGCTGATTAGCAGAATTTTGTTGATCTAGAATCTTCGAATTATTTTTCGTTGTTGGGAACGCAGAGATTTCTTTTTCAACAGCGACTTCATCAGGAATTTCTTTTACCTCCAACTGTTCAGAGATCATGGGGAGCGGCGGGCTAGCATGAATGTCAATTGGAATACCAATCTTATCCGCGACCGTCAATCCCGAAGTAGATCCTTCTAGGGTTGTCGCAGGGGGTTTGTTTGCGGCAGACGCGCTAATTTGTACTTGGAGATCGCGTCGCTTCGCAGTATCGATTCGGTGATTGGGGAGTGTTGCAACAGCAAGAGTTTGATCAGCAATAGATTCGGTGATTGGGTTTGCTGCTTTAGAAGGGTTTACCACAACATCAGCGGAGGCTGCGACAATAGAATCCAACAGGGGCGCATCTTCAGAGAGCAACTGGTTTGATTCCCCCACCTTGTTTTGCAACGGAGGCTTTGCGACAGAGGAGAGAGCTGGATTGGTCAGATTGGCATCAATAGTAGCGTGGGTCGGAGGTGTCATTGCTGGTGCCTTTTTCGAGATTGATGGGCGCTTATTGCTCTTATTATGCCAACAAGATTAGAGATCATGTCCAATCTTTTTGCAATCTTTGCAATATAGGGGTAGATTTTCGTAGTAGACAGATTGGAAATAGGAGTTGCCTTCCATACAGAGTCTGATCCGGATGGGTAGTTCTTTGAGAAGATTTAACTCCACACAAACACGAGCAACAGAGGGACGAGACATGTTGAGGGGTTACCAATGATTGTAGCAACTTTACAATCATTTTAATTAGATCTCCTTTTAAAAGTAAAAATTTCTTAATAAATATTTTAATTAGTGTTACATACTCATTCGCCGATCAAAAGATTACTGCCTCTTTTAATCCAAAATGATTGTGCAAGAAAAGTAATTGGGACGTACAATTGGCATGACAAAGATTTTAAAATAATTTTCGTAGTTCAAGATCGCTCTTCCTATTTGGAATTAAAGAATTTTTCGTTTTATAAGGATCAACTTTATGTGATGAATGGAACACCTGGCTATTATGTGGGTGCCGGTAGGAAAATTTCTTGCTCTTAATTTTCACAGCCACCCGCAACTTTTTGCTTAGGTGGGAATGAAATGGTTGTGACTTGAAGAATGAAATAATGGAGTATTATTATCCGAGTCTCTTTAGTCAGTTCAGCAGGCTGAGCAGAGTACTCTGTGAAGCTAATATTTACTAGAAACAGATGCCTTCAATACTCTCTGGGTTACCAGCTTCAATATTTTTGAATGTGATACACAAACAATTCTATTTCTCTCTCGAAACGCACTGTGGGCGAAAACACCCACAGTGTGTGACGAAACCTTCGACTTTCCAGCATCAACAATGCCTATGAAAATGGGAAAAATGAAGAGAGAGGGGGGAGAAGGAGTTCAAAGCGGAGTAGATCTACAGTTAGGAGAGGCGAGGAATTCAGCGACGGAAAGCAATTTGCTGGATAATTGCTCGATTGACGAAGAAAAGGTTAGAAAACCTAATTCAACTGGTTCAATTGTTTCAAATCGTGTGAATTTCCTTGAACGTCTGAGTAAGAGTTGGGTTATGGAAGTAGGAGAATGTTCTTAGAGTATGAATGTGGAAGATAGGCTAAAGAATTTGGGAAAAATTGAGTCTGATGTGAATGATATTTGGAAGAATTTCGATCATAAAAAATTAAAAAGGGAAGAGAAGAAATTGGGGTTTATAGAGCCAACACTTGTGAATAACAAAGTGATAGCTCGAGTTACCAAGGATGAATTGAAAGAGGCCATTGAGTACTGGCAACCATCAGTTCTATGTTATATCGTGGGTGCCAATCCCCCGTTTCAAGTGGTAAATGGCTATATCAGAAGAGCCTGGGGTAAATTGGGAGTAGACAAGGTTTTATTGTTAGAAAATGGGATTTATGTCATCAGGTTTGGGTCTATGAAGGCAGAGGAAGAGATTTTGAGACAAAGAGTTTACCATTTTGATAGCAAACCCTTGATAATCAAGGAATGGTCAGTGGAAGAAGACTTTAGCATGAATGAGATCAAAACAGTTCCTATTTGGGTTCAATTGCCAGGGGAAAGATGAGATACTGGAACTCTGTTATGTTAAGCCGAATCACTAGTTTAATAGGTAAACCTATTGAGATGGACTATATGACATCTCAAAGACTAATGACAGGGTTTGCCAGGGTTTTAGTGGAGCTAGAAATAAAAGATAAACTTATTGAAGAGGTATGGTTTGAAGATGAGAATGGAAAGTTTAGAGAACAGGTAGTAAAATATGAATGGAAACCTCTTAAATGTAAGAATTGTAAAGGGCATGGGCATGGTACAGAACAGTGTTGGGTCCCGCAAAAGATAGAATGGTTACAGAAAGAAGATGATCCAAAGAAGGTACAAAGCGCAAGGAAGGAAAGTAGTGGTGAAGTATCACAGAATGTGAGAACTGACAAAAGTAATAGAAGAGAAGAGTATCAGCAAGATTGCAAAAGTTCGCAAGGTTGAGACAACCGCAAGAAAAGGGGTGATGCAAGACCACAAGCAAGGATCAGGGAGCATAAGGCAGCAAAGAAATGATTAGGCAAATGAGGGAATTCATATTACCAACCAGAAGGGAGTTAAAATTATGGATGACAAAAGTGATGAAAGGATGAAGTCGATTAATAGGATATGTAATAATGGCTCTAGTAACCCTCCGGGGTCTAGAAACCATGAATAACATCCAAAGTCGGAACATAAGGGGACTCAATAGTCCTCTGAAACACAGAGAGGTCATTAATTGCCTCTCTTAAATAAGGTTAGTTTTGCGGGAATTTTGGAAACTAAGTTGACCGGGGAAAAAGTAGAAGAATTAATGCAATGGAAGATGGCTGGATATGGTTGTGCTAGTAATCATAATGGGAAGGAAAAAGGTCATATACTAGTCATATGGAGGAAAGGAGAGATTCATGTTACCATTGTACATGTTGAAAAATAGTGGATTCACTGTCTTGTGAAAGTAGGAAATTGTCAAGAATGTGAAGTTACAGTCGTATATGCAGATCATGTGGCTAGTGGAAGGCGAAAACTGTGGATGGCGATTAAAGAACTTCAGAAAAGAGTCCATAAACCATGGCTGTTACTGGGGGATTTTAACTGTATTATGGAGGCAGAAGAGAAGTATGGAGGACAAGATGGAATAAGTGTGGATGCTGATGACTTTAAAAGTGTGATAAAAGAATGTGGACCATGGGGGATGGTGACTCAAGGAAGTAAATATACATGGAGTGACAAGCAAATAGGGCACAACTGAATAATGACTAGAATTGATTGAACCTTAGTAGATGGAGAGTGGTTGGATAAATTTCCTGAAGTCTACACAAATACTTTAAATCCTGGGATTTCATATCATGCTCCTTTGGTGGTAAAGTGGTGTACAACATAGGCAAATGGAAAGAGAGCCTTCAAGTTTTTTTACATGTGGACTTCTCACCATAAATATAGAGATGTAGTACAGAAAGATTGGAGTAAAGAAGTAGAAGGTTGCAAGAAGTATAGAGTGGTGACAAAACAGAAGCTATTAAAGAGAGGTTTGAAAGACTTGAATCATAAAATTTTTGCAAAGATAAAAGAGCAGGTTGAGGAGATCAAATTGCAGCTGGATAGAGTACAAGAGGAGATTGTGCAGGATCCAAGCAACATCAATTATCAACAGAAGGAAAAGGAGTTGACAACAGCTTATATAGAAAAGATCAAGGCTGCTATAAGCATGTGGAACCAGAAGCTGAAAGAAAGGTGGAACCAAGAAAGGGACTACGACAATAAGTATTTCCATTCCAGCATTAAACAGAAGCATGCTCGTAATAGAATTAAATCCTTTATTGATTGTAATGGTGTATTAGTTGAGGATTGGGATAAAATTGAGCAACATTTTCTAGATTACTATGTGAATTTGTTGGGGAAAAGCAGGGAAAGAACCTCAGCTAATGTACATGTCTTTAATTCAGGGATTAAACTGTTTGTATACCAGCAGATTCTCCCGATTAAGACTTTACAAAGGCTGAGGCTAAAGAGGCTATGTTTAGTATAGATGGGAATAAGAGTCCTGGGCCTGACGGGTATACTAGTAGCTTTTATAAGAGTGTATGGAACATAGTGGGGGAGGAAATTAGTGAAGCGATACTAGAGTTTTTCAAAACTGGTAAATTGTTAAAGAAAATGAATGCCACTGTAATATCCCTAATACCAAAAAATGAGATGCCAAGGGATGCAACAGAGTATAGGCCCATCTCGAGTTGTAATACCCTGTATAAATGCATTTCTAAAATGCTCTGTAATAGGTTAAGTCAAGTTCTGCCTGCTCTAGTTGACTTCAACCAGGGGGCATTTGTCCAGCACCGTAAAATACTTCATAATGTGTTGTTAACACAGGAACTACTAAGAATGTACAGGAGGATGAATACTAGGCCTAGCTGCTTAATGAAGGTTGATCTAAGGAAGGCGTATGATTCGATCCACTGGAAATTTATTGAAGAAATGTTGTGATGTTATGGGTTCCCTGAGAAATTTATACAATGGATAATGACGTGTGTATCTACTTGTAGTTATTCCCTCAGTTTAAATGGGAATATTACTGGATTTTTTAAAGGAGAACGGGGGTTACGAGAGGGAGATCCTATATCTCCATTGTTATTCGTCTCGGTAATGGAGTATTTGAGCAGGTTGTTTAAAGTAGAAGCCAGTAAACCGGAGTTTGTTTTCATCAGAACTGTGGCCAACTCAGAATTACAAATTTGACCTTTGCTGATGACCTAATAATCATATGTGGTGCTAAAGTCAAGACAATGAAAAAGATTAAGCAGGTGCTGGAAAGCTTTGCAGGAACAACAAGGTTGGAAGTCAATTTAAACAAGTCAAACATGTATTTTGGAGGCTGAAAGGTGGTGAAATGCTTGAAAATCATGGGTGAAATGCTGACATCGATCGCACTTTTGCGTAAATTGATACGCGTCCTTGAAAACTGTAGGCCAAAAGTTGCCTGCCCGGAGGACCTTTTTGGCCAATCCTCAAGCTCCCATGTGCACGTCGCATGATCTCTCATGGATCTCTTCGAGGACATTGGCTGCTTATGTCGGTCCGATGCAGCACAGCAGTGGTAGCAGGTACCCATGCTTGTAGAGAATCTCGTCTTTCAGGGTATATTTGACAGCTTTTAGCTTCAATGCTCGAGCCTCAGATTTGTTGTTGGGTAAGGTATCATCCGTGAGAAACTGGATAAAAGGTGTCATCTATGTATCTCAATCTTCTGTGATTGCTAGTGATACTCGTTGCTAAATGCTAAGTTCAGGGAGAATCTCGACCCAAAATTTGTGATTGAGATGTGCAAAGTTGCTCGAAGCTAGCTTACTTAATGCGTCCGCTCTCTTGTTGCTTGTTCTAAGGATGTGTGATATGGAGCATTTGTCGAACTTATCCCTTATTTCAAGGACTTTCCCGAGGTATGGTCTTATATGTTCCTCGCAAAC